ACACTTGGGGAAAGCTGAATTCCATCAACACAAAAAAGTTTTTGTGTAATAATCCCCAATGTTTTCTCATTACAGCACTAGATTCAAGAATTACCAGCTGTTCCTCGCCTTGGCATTTGCAGTAACAAAAATCAATAAAGATTTGGTTCTGCTTCCCAACATCACACTTGGTTTCCATATTTATGACAATAAGGAGACTGTTAGGAGGATTTCCTGGAACAGCCTCTCTCTTCTGTCTACACGAGGCCAAATGGTTCCAGATTACAAATGTGACAAACAGGATATATTACTTTCAGTTGTTGGAGATCTCAATTCCCAATACTCACGGCAGATGGCCTCCATCTTTAGCATCTTCAAGGTTCCACAGGTAAAGGGGTTCCATACGATACCAGTAAGGAGCAGACACAAAACATAAGCACACACAAAAATCAAGGATGAAGCCAAAGTTGGGAAAAATCAGGACTACATGATTTGGAGAACTCCTGATACAGTTGAAATCATTTTGTATATTTTATTTGTTGGGATAAGTTTATTTATACCCACATTTCAAAGAGATAATACGGTATTTCTGAAATGCTTTCCTGAATAAATTCCTTCATAGCATACTCTTTGTAAATGTGACTAGCATAGCATAGCATAGCATAGCATAACATAGCATAGCATAGCATAGCACAATAGAGTAGAGTAGAGTAGAGTAGAGTAGAGTAGAGTAGAGTAGAGTAGAGTAGAGTAGAGTAGAGTAGAGTAGAGTAGTTCTTTATTGGCCAAGGGTGATTGGACACACAAAGACTTTGTCTCTGGTACATAAGTGCTCATGAAAATAGCAAAGTAATATAATAATAATAATAATAATAATAATAATAATAATAATAATAATAATAATAATAATAATAATAATAATAATAATAATAATAAAGTTGGAAGGGACCTTGGAGGTCATCTAGTCCAACCCTCTGCTCAGGCAGGAAACTCTATACCATTTCGGACAAATGGCTGTCCAGTCTCTTCTTAAAAACTTCCAGTGTTGGAGCATTCACCGCTTCTGGAGGCAGGCTGTTCCACTGGTTAATTGTTCTAACTGTCAGGAAGTTTCTCCTTAGTTCTAGGTTGCTTCTCTCTTTGGTTAGTTTCCATCTGTTGCTTCTTGTTCTGCTGTCAGGCACTTTGGAGAATAGCTTGACTCCCTCTTCTTTGCGGCAGCCCCTGAGATATTGGAAGACTGCTATCATGTCCCCCCTCATCCTTCTCTTCATTAAACTAGACATACCCAATTCCAGCAGCCGTTCCTTATATGCTTTAGCCTCCAGTCCCCTAATCATCTTTGTTGCTCTTCAGTAGAAAAGATGAGAAAGATAATAGTTAATAGTAATACAGTCCTACTACATGGGTAAATATCCTTAGTCTTAAAACAGTATTGTGATAATTAGGTGTTTAGCAGAGTGATGGCACTTCAGTTTGGTTTATTATGTGAATCAGCTTGATGGTTTATTCCCTGAGATTTTCATATGCCAGGACCAGGCAAACTATGTCATGTTTAGCTTTGCTTAGAAACAACTCAAGGCAGCTGATTTGAGTTTTCTTTCCTTATGGATGGTGTTTCTTGGCGCTTTAAAAGAGCAGGGAGATCAAATAAAAGCTTTGACGACACAGGGGATGGGCAGAAGAGGTAGAAAACTAAACAATCAAGATGTGACTGGAATACAGTTTGACAGAATGAGCAAGGGGACTCTGAAGCTACTATTTAGGTTTGGTTAGTCTAGAGCAGGGGTGTCAAACTGCTGGCCCATGGTCCAGTTTCATCATACCGGAGCCGCGCCCACCCCATTGCCGGCAATAGCGAAAAAGCTCCGATACGTCACACGACGTCACGTGATGTCACGAGTTTGACATGCCTGGTCTAGAGAAAAGAAGGACTAGGGGAGACATGATAGTAGTATTCCAATATTTGAGAGGCTGCCACAAAGAGGAGGGGGTCAATTTGTTTTGCAAAGCACCAGAGGGCAGGGCAAGTAAACAATGGATGAAAACTAATCAAGGAGAGAAGCAATCTGGAATTAAGGAGAAACTTCCTAACCGTGAGGACAATTAACCAGTGGAACAGACATTCTGGGTGCTTCATCACTGGAGGTTTTTAAGAAGAGACTGGACAGTCACTTGTCTGAAATGGTATAGGATCCCCTGCTTGAGCTGGACTAGAAGACCTTCAGGGTCCCTTCCAGCTCTATTCTATTCTACTATAGTTGAGGGTGTAGGAGAGTATTACAGCCCCACAACTCTTCCAAAGATGCAGATGAGCTACAGCCCTGGTCATAAGGAATTGAAGGATGCAGAAGCAGCTCAGATGAAGGGAAATGCTAGATAAATAGAAAAGTTTAATGTATTAGCACATTAGGAGACTTTGTAGAATAAATCAATCTTGTTTATACATAACAAAGGAAAAGCATTTCAGCTGCATGGTCTTCACATACCTGTTGAAGTCCGAATTTGTAATTGTAACTGCTTCTCACTCCATTCAATATGAATGAGTCTGACTGGCAGGGCAAAAAGCCACTGGATAGTGACCCTTACCATGAGCATAAAATATTGTCATAAAAATATTTATAAAACATGACTCTCCCTTTCTGCAGCTTGGTTTTGACTTCGTCAAGTTCATCCAGGGAGACAGAATTGTTTTTCCTTCCTTCTTCCGGATCAGCCCCAATCAATTTCTCCAGTATGTAGGTCTAGTCCAGCTTCTCTTGTATTTCCAGTGGAACTGGGTTGGGCTGGTGGCCACTGAAAGTGACAATGGAGAGGATTTCACCTCGACTCTGATGCCAATGCTGAAGGAGAAGGAGATCTGTCTGGCCTTCATTCACCTGTTCAAATCTGAATCTGTTGCTCTTTCACTGAACAAATTTCTTTCTATAATCATGACTTGGTTTAAAACCGAAGTGGTCATCTTATTTGGAGAATCCAAATGCATTAAGACTATATCTCTCTCTCTGCATCAGTTTGAAAAATTGACTAAGAATGCATTTAGAACTGTTTGGATCCTGACTTCCCATTGGGAAATAAGTGCATGTCACATGGTTTTGGAATTTCTAAAGCCCTTCCTTGGTGCTTTGCATTTTAGGGATCATAGGCATGATGTAGCGGAATTCAGATATTTTCTTCTGTCTTTAGACCCTTTGAACCCTCAAGGAGACGTCTTTCTCCCTCTATGGTGGGAAAGGATTTTTGGCTGCAAGATCCATAAACCAGGAGTGATCCTTCAAAAGGGAGAAAAACAATGTACAGGAAAGGAGCATTTAAAGAATGTGCCATCTTACATATTTGAAATGAGCATGACAGGTGAAAGTTATAATATCTACAATGCCATTTATGCTGTGGCCCATGCATTACGTGCCCTGCGAGGATCAGGAACACAGCCAACCATGATGAGGCTTGGAAAGAGGATCTCAAGTGTCCAGTCATGGCAGGTAATTTCTCTGACTTTTATCCAGACAACAGATTCTTAGAACTTCCCATGGGCATTTATTGATTAATTTGTTAAATATTTCCAGGCCGCCCATCTAACTACATCTGAAAATAAGCTAAATCAGCAATTATTAAAATATGATTTGATAAAAAAAAAAGAGAAGGATAACCAAACTAGTTGTGAATAAGATCCACAAAGGAAAGTTTTTCCTTTAAGATCTTGAACGGTCTTCAATGGTCACCTGAGTTTCAAGGGGTGAAACCCCATTTGAGGGAGGAGGTATCAGTCCACAGTGGGATGATAATCTGGATGACTTTGAGCAAGATCCTTCAACAGGTCCAGCCACTTTCGCAGAACCACCAAAGTTTCTGTCTATGGAGATACTCAGTCATCCAGATCATGGTTGTCCCAAAGGAGGCAACTGGACTTTCTTGTTTTTCTTTGAAGACGTTTTGCTTCCCATCCAAGAACATGACATCATGGAGTGATGATTGCTCAGTGGTTAATTTGCTGGGCTTGTCAGCTACAACGTGCTTGGGGTGAGTACCCATCCTCACCCCAGTTCCTGCCAACCTATCAATTTGAAAGCATGCAGATACAAGTAGATAAATAGATACCACCTTTTGGTGGGAAAGGTAACAACAAGAAGTAGTAAGTAAGTAAAAATGTGTAGTGTAAAAAGTAAAGAATACATAAAAAGACAAAAACATATATAAAAAGTAAAATATCTATGAAGTAAAATATATAAAAAGAAGCTCTTTATAAAAAATAGAGAATACATAAAAGAAAATCTAGAAGTAGCACACTTTACAGAGGGAAAAAACTGATAAAAATACCTATGATCATAAAAATGTAAAAACATATAAAAATCACCAAATGTTAAAAATATATATAATAAGATCTAGATAAAAATAGCAAGCAGTTAAGCATTTATAGGCTGATAGTTAAAAATCTAGAATGAATGAATCTAGAATAAATGGTCTCCAGACAATGATAGAAACCAATTTCCGAAGGTCTCTTTTCTTTCAGCTTCTTCCAT